CATTGGATTTGGCAACTAAGAGATCATCGGTAACTTTGGAGAGAGCAGTTTCAGTGGAATGATAAGGTCAGAAGTCAGATTATAAGAGGTTGAGAAGAGCATGAGAGGAGAGAAAGTAGAGGCGCTCATTAAGACAGCCTTTCTGAAGAGTTTAGCTACCAAAGGCAGAAAAGAGATATGGTGATAATAAGTGGGGATAGAAGGGTCAAGTGAGGGTATTTTTTTCAGGATGAGAGACAAAGGCACATTTGCAGGCAGTGAGGAATGAACCAGTGGAGAGGGAGAGATTGAAAACAAATGGAAAAATTGAGATGACAGTGGGGCAATCTGTTGGAAAAGATGGGATGGAATGGGATCACTTGAACAAATAGAGAGGTTAGTCTTGGTAAGGAGCAAGGCCACTGCATCATGTGAGACAGGGGTGAAGGAGAAGATAAGGCAGAAGGTGATAGATGAGGAAGAGGAGAGAAGAGGGAGTTCACGGCAAGTAGCCTCATTTTTTTCTGTAAAGAATGAGACAAAGTTCTCAGTTATAGAATGGAGAGATGGTGAGCTATAGGAAGTGAAGGAGTAAAGGAGACAAAGAGTGGGAGTCTGAGGCTTGGCTGGACGTAATCTGCAATATGATAAGGAGGCTAGAGATTCAAGGGAGGACAGTGTAGAGTTGAATTGGTTCACCAAGGAGTCAAGCTGGGGAGAAGAGAAAAAAGGGGCTAGTGTAGGGAAGATAGCCTGGGAGAGAATTGAGGGGTCAAGGGATTGGAGATCAGAGTGCAGACAAAAATTAGGGTCTTGTAAAGGAAGGCAAAAGGAGAAGTGACGATCCAACATATTATATGTCCCTTTTAATCACTGAAGACAAAGTTTGAGTTATCAAAAAAGACTTTACCAGCAACAAAGGAAAATGAAACAAAACTTTTAAAAAATCTTAACCACATAACAGAATTGTCAGGTTATATGTAACAGCGCCTGCAAAGACCAGAGTAGGTGTCATATAAAGCATGAACAGAGCAATCTTACCTTAAGACACCCCAATATTGCCTCACAGTCTGATACCATTTCCTGAGCTAACTTGGGGAAGAGGAAAAGAAGGTCCTTCTGCTTCTCTCGTTGCTACGATCCGCATCTCAGCATAGTTTCCCAATATATCCCTTTTAATCACTGAAGATAAAGTTTCAGTTATCAAAGGGACTTCACCAGCAACTGGGGATTGCTGGTAAATTCCCAGGTGCACATAGCAAGACATAGGACCACAATATTTCGATCAGAAAGAGACTTTAAGAGACCATTTGGTCCCATCAAGATCAAATGACATAATACTTGTAAAGTGCTTAGCAGAGTGCCTAGTACATAGTAGGCACTTAATAAATGCTTATTCCATCCCTCCCTTATTTTATATAGAAGGAAACTGAGGCCCAGATGCATCAAATGACTTGCCCAAATTCAAACACCTCAAAACTTGAAGGATCTGTGATTTTGTTGATTGCAATACTTCCTCCACTCATACCCATTAAAAGACTTCTATAACTTAGTACTAGGGTTCTTAATGGTTTTTTGTGTGTGTCTTGGACCTCTTTGGCAGTCTGGTAAAGGCTGTGGTGAACTCTTCAAAGAATCATGTTTTTAAATGCATAAAATAAAATGCATAGTATTACAAAGGAAACCATCATTTAAAAAAAGTTTTTTTAAATTCACCTACTCCAAATTCAGAACCTCTGCCCCTAGGAGAGTCAATTAAATTTAATTCCATAAATATTTTGTAGGGGCTATAACATATAACTTGATAATTCTGTTATGTGTTAAGATTTACTAAGTATTTCTTATGTGTCAGGCACTGTGCTAAGAATAAAGCCTATAAATATTAAAAAAAAAAGAAAGAAAGATAGTTTCCACCCTCAAAGAGCCTAATAAGATGATCTTCCCAAGTGTTTGCCGCCATGTTGGTGTTGAGTGTCTCTGAGCTCAGACAAAGGCCTGCTGGGACTCGCACTCAGCTGTCAGAGTCTGTGGGAACTCTGGGTCACCTCTAGGCCATGGGGATGCTATGGAATAGGACGTCAGCAGAGGTCCCAAGGCCATGCAGCTTGGACATTAGCCTGGGTATTACAAATCTGGTGCCCTCCCTACTATACCAAGCTGCTTCACTGGTGAGTTGAGCTAAAACCTGAGAAGAGTCCAGACTCAGGGTCATAGGCTTGAGGCATCATGACAGCTGGCCAGGTCTCAAAGCCAGACTGAGAGGAAGTGTGAGGTAGCAGAAAGATCACTGCACTTGGAGTCAGGACCGTGGTTCTGGCCCTATCTCAGCAGCTTTTGAACAGTATGACCTTGAACAAGTCACTTTCTCTGTTTGGACTTTAGTTTCCTCATTTGTTAGACTGAATGGTTAGAACTGCTGGCAGTTCTAAATCCTAGAGACCCACCTTCCTTTTCCTTCTAAGTTTCATCCCTAAGTCTGGATCCTCCTTGAAACTTCCAGATTCAATGCTTTCAGACACCATCATTCCACCATATTAGCAAGGCTCTGCCCATCAGCAATGAGGGAAGGATTCTTTGTTCACATGTTGTTGCAGTCATGTCCAACTCTTTGTGACCCTATTTGGGGGTTTTCTTAACAAAGATACTGGAGTAGTTTGCCATTTCCTTCTGCAGCTCATTTTGCAGAAGAGGAAACTGAGGCAAACAGAGCTAAATGATTTGCCCAAGGTCACTCAGCTGGTAAGTGTCTGAGGCCAGATTTGAACTCAGATCTTCCTGACTGCAGGCCCAGTGCTCTATCCTCTGAGCCATCTAGTTGCCTCCTTAGCTTAGCTGTGTCTATATGGTATGAATTTCAATCAGATTTAAGGACAGGTATTGTTTCTCTTTGTAAGTCCCAGCATAATCACTTGCACATAGCAATCCCTGAATAACTGTTTGTTGAATGGGATGGGATTAAATTGCATTAAAGAAAATGAACGTGGGGTATTCACACCAGGGAGCTGTTCATGCCCGTGAGAACTGCTATATGGTACACCACAATGAGAGAAGGGCACCTGGTTAGCAGCTGATTTCAGGACTCTCTCTGACTCTGAAGTTGTCTCCACAGGCCCTTGTACTGTGTGTACCTCTTGTGGGAAGCCTTGTGCCATAGCCTTTCCTGCAAGTTACCTGAGGTCTTAAGCACAGATAACACTAAGGGGTTTAGATGACAATGAATATGTGTCACTAGATCAGGATGTGTTTTATTCCAGGAAACACTCTGGACTCGTCCACACTCCCCCGTCATGCTTAGGTCTGGGGCTCAGAGAGCTCAGTTTTGGGCAAAGCCCAACTAACATCTACACGAAACCTTTCTTTGTCACCCCAGATGCCAGTGCCCTCTCCAACAAAAATTTACCTTGCTTTTTTTTTTGCATATACTTACTGTCTCCCCTAATGGACTGTAAGCTCCTTAAGGGCAGGGATACTTCATCAGTGCCTAGTACCTAATGGGCACTTAATAAATGATTGTTGATTAATTGACCCTGACATTGGGGTTCAGACCTAAATCTTTTGATTCTATACCCTGCATCCACTCTACTTACATCAAGAACACAATAGCTGGATGCCAAATCTGAGGCCCCTCGTATGTGTTCCCCCTCTCCTTTTAGGAGATGGCCAGGTGTTATGTAGGCAGCTAAGTAACCCAGTGGACAGAGCACTGGGCCTGGAGTCAGGAAGACATGAATTCAAATCCTGCCTCAGATATTATACTAATTAGATGTGTGACCTTGGGCAAGTCACTTAACCTTGGTCTGCCTCAGTTTCCTCCAAATGTAAAATGGGAATAATAATAGCTCCCACTTCCCAGGGTTGTTGTGAGGATCAAAAGAGATAATACCTGTGAAGCACTAGCACAGTCCCTTGCACATAGTAGGTGCTTAATAAATGCTTCTTCATCGTGTAGGCAGAGGGACGTTAGAGTTAAAAGGGTAAGTTTCTCTATTTTGCAAAGTAGCCATCCCAGGCTCTTAGGCTAATAGATCCAAGTTTCTTAGATGTTGTACCAATTCATCTGAGTCATGTTCTTTTCTATGCACTCCAGCATCTCCTCTCCTCATGGGTACCCTTGTTGTCCCAAAAAGGTTGCCTTGTGAGTGGGATGCTGAACTGGGCTGAGCTTAGAATGGATTGCCCAGAGCCCAGCCTCTGTTTACCCAAGTCTGCTATGGACATGTGGATGACATTTAAGAAACCTCAGCAGGAGCGGTCAGTGAAGACAGAATAGGGAAGACTATATCACCAAGGTGGGGAGCAAAAGAAGACTGAGTTACCATGGTAGAATTTCATGCCCATTCCATTTCATTTGGGCAAAGCTAAAGAAAATTAATCATGGAAGTGGGGACTTCAGGAACTAATAGAATGAAGAGAAAACATCCAGGAGGGCTTGGTCACTGATTTAGAAACCCTTTGAGGTCAGAAAACATCTTTTTTATATCTATTTTATTTTCAAGGAGGGGGATAGGTAAGGAATAGGAAGGTGATAGGAGGAAGAATAAAAAGGAGGGAAGGAAAGAGTAAAAACTTTGACAGTGAAAAATAAATCATTTTAGAAGCTGTTTTTCACGGTGAGCCTGGCACCTGAGGGGCCGCCATCCACACCTGAGAGCCCAGGGCCAGGGCACAGCCTTTTCCAGGGTTCAGCTTTTCCAGAAGTATGTGAGTATTAATACATCACTCCTCAGGTATGCCACTGAGGTCTGTGGTGAGAGCTTCTCTCTCTTTCTCCTTCCTTGTTGTGTCTGCCCTCCCTCTCTCTCCCCCACCCACCTTAAGGCTCCTCCCCTCCCCTCCACCCCCATTCTGAGCCTGACCTGAGTTTTGTTTGGGAGCCTAACAACCCACTCATAGCAAGCTACCTCAGGAGGGGAGGGGAAGGATTCAGGGAGCTGGGGGGGGGGGAAGGGAAAGAGGGAGGGGGGAGGGAGGAGGGAGAGGGAGCAGCATCATCTAACAGGTTGGTCTGGCTGGGAGGCGTCACGCCCTCCCCGAGAAGGTAATGAGCACAGCACAACAGGTGTTTGCTTCTCATTACCCAGCTCTCTCCTGCGTGGTAGAGACAGGAACGACCGCCAGACCCCGGCTGCCACATCCCTCTCACCCAGGGTGCTCCCTTGGGTGCCCGGTCTCCCTGCCCCCCAGGGGGGGCAAGATGGCCTGCCAGTCCAGCGTCACCTTCAGTAGCCTCAGCAGCAGCGGCGTAGCCCCAGTATGGAGCACTGGACCAGGCTCCCTGGGATGGAATGGCTGCGGGGAGCCCAGCCCCAGCTTCAGTTCTCGCAGTCTCACCAGCTGTGAGCCAAGAGACGCCTTCCAGAAGGTGAACGTGAACCCCAGCCTCCTGGTGCCTTTGGACATCAAGGTGGACCCTGCCATCCAGCAACAGAAGAATCAGGAGAAAGAGGAGCTGAAGACACTCAATGACAAGTTTGCCTCTTTGATTGGGAAGGTAAGAGGAGGCAGGAGGGGAGCTTATGTCTGAGTCAGCTTCTTTTGTAACCTTATCTGAGGATAAAGGGACAGTGGCGCTGTCTGGCTGACTTGGAGACTTTGCAAAGTGGGATGCATGAAACAGTCAAGTGGGTTTATTTTGCCTCTAGCTCCTCCTCCCCATTGCCCTGGCTCTGAGCATCCCCTAGGATCCCTCACCAACCAATGGAAAGGCAGGATACTTAGCCGAGCTAGTCTCTGAAAAGGGGCGGGACTTTCCCAGCTCCATCCAAGCACTTAGAAGGAAAAAGGGACAGCACATGTTGTCCCTAAAAGATGTCTGGGACAAGGGAAAACAGGTTTAATAAAGATAAAATGTCTTGACCATATTTCCTGGGCATGGTGGACGGAGTGGAAGGAGATTTATAGGACTTTAAAGTGCACATCCTGGGTCAAAGTCCCTTCTCCCCCATCAGAGTCTCTTCTGCATATGGGTCTTAAAAGCCACCAAGATTAATACCCTCACTTAACAGATGAGAAAGCTGAGGAATGGAGAGGTTAAGTAACTTTCCCAGGTTCACACAACCAGCAAGCATCTGAGGTGGAATCTGAACCCAGGTCTTCCTTACTCAAAGTCCTGATCCTGTGCTGTGGTGTAAAAGGAGAGGTAGGGTTTTGTCAAGCAGGGCAGAGAACAACCCAAACCCCAATCTCTGTCCATGCACCCCTCAGAATCCAGTGGCTCTGTTCCTGTTCCTTTTTCATAATCCTGAGGAGGTGTATTATCCTTCTTGGTCCTCTTTGGCCAGCCCCTGTAATTCTCTGCTGAGCTGAGGCGGGCCCAGGAAGCCTGATCCAAAAGGAGGATGCAGGACCGGATGAGGATGCTGCCTCAGGCATGTCAGGGGATAGGAATGTTGGTGGTGATGCTGGGATATAGGAGACAGCCCAACACGAGACTTCCCAGTTCCACCACTCTCCAGCCAGGCCCCCAGTGCTTGTGAGATTACAGCAGAAATCCAGCCCACCTTGGCTCTGGGCATCTTCAGCACCCACATCCATAGCTTACACTTGGTTCTCTGTCATTAATCTCTGTCTGGCTCCCCTTTCAGATCTGGTCCCTTAGGGTAAGGACCATGAGCCCTCATACCAAGAAGCTGTTTTTTCTCCTTTTTCCTGCTCCAAATACTACTATTCCCCACCCCCACTTCCCTGCCTCCCCAAAAGCCTTCTCTGGCTAATCCTCCCTTCGTTCCCCAGCTCTGCACCCCCCTATGCTCTCAGCACTGAGGTCCAGAACTGCCTGTCTTCTCCCCAAAGTATACATCCTGGTGGAAGTCCCTTCTCCCCCACCAGAGTCTCTTCTACATATATTTGAGGCAGAGAAGGAAGACTGACCAGCAGTAATAATAGCTAACATTTATCTAACTCTTTAAGAGTTACAAAACACTTTATTTATATATATATACTTCATATATATTCATATATTCCTCATATATATACTATCTAGCTACCTATCTATCTATCTATCTATCTATCTATATATATATATATATATATATATATATATATATATATACCTCATATATTCACAACAACACTGTGAGGTGGGTGCTATTCTTATCTCCATTTTACAGATGGGGTTGACAAAGCTTAAGTGACTTGTCCAGGGTCATATGGCTAGTAAATGTCGGAGATGAGTTGCAAACAGTTCTATTTTGAATCCAAGCCCTGTCTTCTAGCCACAATTCCACCCAGCTGCCTCCCTAAAGAACAAATGTCTAGCTAGGTGAGAACTTTCTGCCAACTCCTAACAACTGATAAGCCCCAAAACTGTAATTTCCCTCCAATGATAAGCAATTTGTAAATGGGTGGCAGGTCCCTGCAAAGCTCTCCTCTTCGATCCCGGCTTAATCCCTGAAAAGTATTGCTTCACAGAACTACGTAATTTGGCCAGGATGGGTGACTTTTCTCCCTTGAATGCCAGTGTTGATGTCACTTTGAGCTGTTGCCATTGGCAAAAAGGAAGCTAGAGTTTTGTTTATAGAACACTGGGCAGGATGACCCCAAAAAGCAGGGAGCTTGCACCCCAGAAGCTGGGGTTGAGGAAAATGCTTTTGGAATGTTTTTCCAGGAAGTTATGGCCTAAATTCCCACAGCCCCAAAGTTCCCTTCAGGGTTATGGCATTTGGCCAAGAAGGGGCCCCATTGATTCTACAACTCTGGAAAGACAATCTGCTTGACTACTTCCTATCTTGACTACTCTCCTCCCTCTCCCTTCTCTTTGAATATGTAGCTCCATTCTAGATGACAGGAAGGAGAGGTCCCTGCCCCACCCCCCAGAGCTTACAGTCTGATATGGAAAATGGACAGAACCCAGAGCAACTGGACAGAATACTGACTCACTGTAGGTTGGGGGTGGGAGTGGGGGCTAGTCAGGGAAGGTTTCCTGAAGACAAGAGTGTTGAGAAGGGAAGGGAGTGGGAAAGGGACAGGTCTGGAGAAACTAAGGAGACACTAAAAAACTACAGGAAAACTCTGAAGGAAAGGGGATGGATACGTTATTGCAAGCTGGAATGGAGTCCCTGCTGGAGACTCATGCACAATGAAGGGAATGGAGGAGTCAGCACAGATGATAAATCCAGAAAAAACTTAGGAACCATCTAATCCAGGAGTGGGGAGCCTGTGGCTTTGAGGCCACATGTGACCCTCTAGGTCCTCAAGTATGGACCTTTCATTGACTTCAAGTTTTACACAAGTCCTTTATTAAGGACTTACTAATGTGAAGTTTGGATTTGGTCAAAGGGCCGCACTTGAGGACCTAGAGGGTCATTTGTGGCCTTGAAGCCACAGGTTCCCCACCCCTGAATTCTAACCCAACTCCCTGCCACCTTTTAAATGTGAGGAGTCTGGGGCAGCTAGGTGGATAGAATACTGGCCTTGGAGTCAGGAGGACCTGAGTTCAAATCCGGCCTCAGACGCATAACACTTACTACTTATGTGACTCTGGGCAAGTCACTTAACCCCAATTGCCTCACCAAAAAAATAAATAAATAAATGTGAGGAGTCTGAGGTATTTACCTCCATCCCCTCTTTCTTCCCCCATGGTTAAAATAAAAACGATAACTGGCATTTATATAGTGATTTCAGGTTTGCAAAACACTTCACCTAGATTATCTCAACAACCCTGGGAAATAGGTGCTCCACCACCCTCATTTTACAGATGAAGAAACTGTGGCAGAGGTTAATAGCTTGTGCCAGGGTGACCCAGCTAGAAAGCGTTTGAGGTTGGATTAGAACTCAGAACTTCTTGGAGCTGGATTAGAAGGTTCAACTCTGCATCCACTGTGCCACCTAGCTGCCTCAAGGTGAATTAAAAGTTACAGAATTAATTAGGAGAGAGGTGGGGACAAGGAGCAAGAGAGGAGAGCTTCAGAGATGATAAGAGAGCGAGGGAAGAGTAGCTAGGAGAAGAGAAGAGAAAAAAGACAGACTTGGTCATAGGACAACAATCAAAACATAATGGTCACACTGACGTATAGCTAAGACTTTTAAGTTTGCAAAGCACTTCAGACACATACTCTCATTCTATCCTCACAATAACCCTATGACGTAGGCACTACCTGTAAAATGAGGGTATTGTTATACCCATTTTGCAAATTAGAAAATTAAGGAGGCAGCTAGGTGGCTCAGTGAATAGAGTGCTGGCCCTGAAGTCAGGAGGACCTGAGTTCAAATCCGGTCTCAGACCAAACACTTAACACTTACTAGCTGTGTGAACCTGGGCAAGTCACTTAACCCCAATTGCCCAAAAAAAAAAAAATTAAAACTAACTTTTGAGGGAATCATAGATTTAGAGCCAGAAGGGATCTTTGAGATCATTTAGCTCAAGGCTCTCATTTTACAGATGAGGAAACTGAGGCTTCCTAAGGTTGTGACTTGTCCCAGGTTACAGAAACATTAGGGCAGTGATTTGAACCCATGTTCTCTCGTGGCTTTTCCATTACACCCACCCTGCCTGTCAGTCATTGAAAAGGGCACCATTTGAGGATTGGGGTGGGGAATGATCCATGAATGGATCCTTAGTGCTCCCTGAGGACAAGGCAAAATACTGAGGTAAGACAGTAAGAAGGCCTGTCAGGATAAGGAGGAGATAGAAAGAGATTGTGAAATGTTCACTTCTAGAGATAGGAGCAGAGAGGCACTCACCTCTCATCTGGGCTGCCTGAAGGCGGAGAGATGACTGAGATAATTTCCACCAGTCCCTAAGGAATTCTAGGGTTAGGAGGAAGCTTTTGGATACCATGAGTGCCATATGGCTCCTTGCAGGCAGGCTAGCTAGCAGCCAAACCATGGGAGAGAGGGCTCCCCATCCTTCCTGAACAGAGCACATTCCTACCTAGAAGCAAAAAGATGGATGAATCATTCAGGGTCCTTTTAGGCAGATGGAGGTAACCAGGGAGGGCAAAGGGATTGAGAAGAGAACCTCACAGCCTAGGAAAGCTGCCAAGCCAGGAAGTCACAGAATGAAGAGCATAGTTAGATAAGGGCAGAAAAAACTGGGTAAGGAGAACTTTAAATCCCTTTGCCCTTGTTTTCCCCTTCCCCCAACACACACACACACACACACACACACACACACACACACACACACACA